AAACCGCGCTCTCGCATTGGGGGACTGCGCGCTCCCTCGAGGCCCCGCCCGCCGCACATGATGTAACTTTGAGGACTCTTGCTCCGCGTAGATAGTGACAGACTCGGCGGCAAACAGGCGGGGGCGGGAGGCTGTGGGGCCCTGAAGTCTAGCAGCGGGCGTTGGGCATTACGTTTCGCCTTCTCCCTAGGAACTGGGTACTCGGAGCCCCAGGACCTAACTGGAGGTCTCCTCTGTCCCTAACTCCCAAATCCTTGTTTCTTCTCCCCTGAGGAGGTCTCCCTTCTGCCTTACCATGAAATGTGGTGTCTTCACTCCAGGCCTCTGCCCTGGTGGCTCTTTCCACATTCACCTGGAGAAAGCATCTGCCCCACGCAACCACCATCATAAAGTTCTCAGGTAATTTCTCAAGTAATGTCTCCATTCAGACATTACTCTTCAACTTGAGACCACTGGGTATCACTCCAAACGCCACAGCATCTCAACTCAACATGTCCATGGGAGGCATCTGCTCAGCATCCACTCCCCCTTTCTGGTAATAGCACCCTGATGTTCCTCCTCAGTCTATGTGGTCATGTGGGTCTCCTGGGGGTAGGTTCTCAGCTTGGCCAATTCGTGTGTTTCTCACTCTGACTTCAGCAATTGAGAATGTTCAGGAATGGGCATGAGGTCCCTCTCTGGGGCTTTTTCTGTAAACTTTCAAAATATGCTCCCATCCTGGCGTTGCTGAGCTGGTAGACTATAAGCCTGGAGCTTCTGGGTGTCAGCTTAGCGCTGCAAAGCAGGAAACTTCCCCAGATGGAAGCCAGCTAAGGGAAGCAGAGCAGAGGGATGGAGAGAAACAAATTTGTGATTTCGGTTATAGGAGTCAATACGTTTTTTCTCTTGCTCAAGCTAATTGTTTTTATTTTTATTTTTTAGAGAGAGAAACATTGATTGATTGCCTCCATATGTGCCACAACTGGGGATCAAACCTGCAAGCTGGGTATGTGTGCCATGACCAGGAATCAAACCAGTCACCTTTTGGTATATGGGACAACACTCCAGCCAACTGAGCAACACTGGCCAGGCTGCTCAAGCTAATTTTAAGTGGATTTCCCCCATTTGCAACAGAAACAATCTTAATCTCAGAGTTCTGTGCTGGAATATAGTAAAAACGAGAGCTTACCTCCAACCTTGGGCTTGCTGCTGGCCCTCCACTCTTTCACCCAGGCTCCATCCTGCACTTAACCTCATGTGTATGTATTTGGGACTCTTCCCTCCAGTTCCAACATCCAAATTGTCCACACCACCCAACTGCAAACAGCTGCCTATTTGCCCCTTTGGGCCCATAGGTGTGCACACTGGTGGACTGGTCAACGTACTGAAGGCCATTATCTCTTCCATGATCCTCCACCTGCTCTCATGTTTCCCTATCTCAGCCAATGGCCCCACCATTTAGCTAGTTGCCCCAGGGGAACCTGAATCAGTCGAGAATATTCCTTTTTTATTCTCCATAGCCAATCAGACACCAGGACTTTTGTATCTGTAGTTCACAATTATCTCTCAAATCTGTGTCTATCCCTATAGCCACTGTCTTAGTTCAGGGCTTATCTCTTGCTTGGTTTCAGGTGATAGCTTCCAAGCTACCTCTTGGCTTCTCCAAATGCTACCCTCTCTCCCTCCCACCAAGCTACTTTCCAAACTCTGCACTTAAGGTAAAATTGGAGAATTAAGAAAGAGGTATAATGTTTATTGTGTAGACACTAGGTGCCAGGCTCTCTGCTGGCAGCTTTACATGCATAATCTCATTCAGTTTCAAAACAACCCTATTACAGGTATGGATGCTCAAACTTAGAGAGGTTAAGTCATTTGCTTAAAGTCACATAGCTGGTCAGCTTGAGAAATGGAGTCTTATTATCAACTTGTCGTGCCTCCCCCCCACCCCCCGCAGTCTAATGTTATCCCCTTGATTTATCATTTAAAAAAGTGAAAACAGCCCTGGCTGGTGTGGCTCAGTGAGTTGAACGTTGTCCCATGCACTGAAGGGTTGCTAATTCTATCTCCGGTCAGGGCACATGCCCAGGTTGTGGGTTTGGTCCCCAGTTGGGGTGCATATAGGAGGCAACTGATTGATGTTTCTCATTGATGTTTTTCTCTCTCTCCCTTCCCCTCTTTCTAAAATCAATTTTAAAAAATATCTTTGGGTGAAGATTAAAAAAATTTTTTTGGTCTTGTTTTTTATCCTAGCTCCCAACAGAATCTGGCCTATACTAAGCACTTAATAAATGTTGATTAAATGAAAGAATGAACGAGTCTCATGTTTGTGAATCCTCCCCTCCCAAACCTCCCGTTTCTTCCTTCCTTAACTTTAGGCAGACTGAGCAAGGGGCTCCTGTGAGGATTTCCTTGCACTGCTGATACCCCTTATCTGCCACACACTTTTGTTCAGTTCCCTGGCCCTCCTGGCAGCCTGACCCACCAGCTGGCCCAATGTTCTGTCCGTGTATCACCACCAAGGGGCAGGGTGTGACCAACCTTGCTCTGATCTGCATTTTCTCCTTGGGGGAGGGGCTGGGCGCTGTTGGATGGTTCACAGACCCCCTGTAGTGGATGTTGCTGGGTGCGGCCCAGGTCCCTCCTTCAGGACCACGGTGCTCATTGTCCCAGCCACTGAGTGTTGGCTCCTGATGGCTCACAACTGAATGTTTCCCTGAGAACTATCTGTGGCCTAAGGGAACTGTCTTATCGAATGCAGTACCCCTTTCCTGGGATAACGTGTATCCAATGACTGGTTGATGTAGGGGTTTAAAGGTCTGGCCCCTTTGTCTCAATTTGAAACAACACGGAAAGTTCATCCGGGATCCAGAGCTCCTGTGGAATCAGCTGAAGCCTATTCTGTTGCAAGTGCAGTGCATTTCAACTTTTCCCTCTGCCCAGTCCTGCTTGTCTTACTCCCTTTGAAAGTCTTCCCCAGTAAGACAGCTGCACACAGTTTCCATCTCAGAGTTTGTTTCCAGCTTAAGATTTCCTCCAGCCCGGCCGGTCGTGGCTCAGCAGTTGAGCGTTGACCTAGGATCCAGGCGATCAGGGTTCGATTCCCGGTCGGGGCACATGCCCGGGTTGTGGACTCGATCAATGACTCTCTCATCATTGATGTTTCTATCTCTCTCTCCCTCTCCTTTCCTCTCTCTGAAATCAATAAAGATATATTAAAAAAAAAAAAAAAAAGATTTCCTCCAAACAACTTGGATACTGTATTAGTCTCCTTATCTGACTCTAATCCCATTTTTGCTCTCCTTCACACTAGATCCAAAGTGATCTTTTTAAACTATCTGATCATGTCACGTCTCCACTGAAAACCCTTCAGTAGCTTCTCATTGCTCATATTTATTTATTTTTTAAGAGAATTTTTATAAGAGTTTATTTGAGCCATACTGATGACATATGCCGTGGAGCAAGATCTCAAATGCTCCCAGCTTCTCACTGCTCTTAGAATAAAGTCCACATTCTAAACTTGGCCTACAAGGGCTCTCTGCATGATCTGGCATCTGCGGACTTCTCCACCCTCACCACCATTCCTCCCATCTTTCCTGGTTTCTACTCTCTGGCTCCATTGGTCTTTTTTCAGTTTAGTGAACATGTTCACCTCTTTCCTGTCCAGAGCCTTTGCAAATATTGTTCCTGCAGCTTGCAATCCCCACCTTCTCCCACTTCCAGGCATGGTCACTTCTTACTCATCTGAC